ACAAATCGAACATTGAGACTTTGTAGTTCGCTAAATTTGGTTGCATGCACGAGTATATATAAATTTTTAACGTATCTTTACTATTAAAGAGAGCGTAAAATGTGTTTAGATATTTAAAAATAATTATTAATATTATATGCATCGTGATTATCATGTAATTTAAAAGTAAAAAATAGAATTAAATGGCATAAATAATTTGCATAGGAGTTGATAATTTTTTATTGTATATTAATATAATTTATATTTTTTATTTTAAAAATATATAAAATATATACACACACATGTATATATGATATTTTAATATTATTATGAAAATTAAGGAAAAAAAAAATACAATTTTTTTTATGCAATACTTAAAATTTAAAATAAAAAAAAAAGTAACAGAGGGTATCAAATTTCGACATAATCAAAGTAAAATCCACATGACATTACGTAATATTTCTAGTTCTTTATATAACCCTGTTCCACAGTCTGCGCTCATATCCATTATCATCGACTGTGAAAAGAAAATAAGAAATGGCCGCTAAAAACCCACATAGAAAGCCAAAACCACCAACGACAGCATAAAGCTTCCGCCAACAAGAGGAGTCGAGGCAGAGGGGCTGGGTGCTTCAAACCCTGCCGAGTCTGATGATACCTCAATCCGAGGGCTCTCCTTGGGCATCACCTCCACATGTAGCTTCAGTCCTCTCTTGCAGTTCTCTGGCTTGCTACTTAGAAAGTACCGGATCCCTTCCTCCGCCAATGAGATCACTTCTAATCCGTCCGTGTACATCTTGATGGGGTTACTCAGATCGCACGACTCGTATTCCTCCTTGCTCTTCACCTCGGCGATTCTCCCCTGGACTGCTGAGTAGGTGAACCCTGCACACCCCACACGTGACTCACGTGAATAAAGTTTTGCTTCATGAATTAATTTTTAGTTGTAAAAAATGAAATCCCCGTGAAAGGAAAAGAAAAAAGAATGATAGTTCAACTGCTAACTAACCAACCAGTACTATCTGCTAGCTTCTGGAAAAAGAAACTGAAACCGAAGGGTATAGTTTCTTAAGAGGTAAGATTCCGAAGCAAAAAAAGAAAAAAAGCAGTAAATTTTCCCACGAAACAAACAGAAAATCAGCTAATGAAATAGTGGGTAGTTGATTAATTCTGGCACCTACTGCTTCCAATATGTATCTAGTTAAAAACAAACAAGAAAAGAATAAACCTTTTTAAGCCCAAGGGATTGATTACTACTAGTCTTTTTCTTCAGAAAATAATAGGAAGAAAAAAAAAAATCTGTTGTTTTCTCAGGAGCCAAACAAGTGTGAACTTCACTAGTCCTAGATTTTCTTAAGAAAGAAAAAGGAACTTACAAATTTTATCACCAACCCTGAACTCTCTGCCAGATAACCAGGAAGCCAAATCAGAAGAAGGGTCCCAGCCACGATCAGATCCTACCACGTGGTCCATCTCGGCTGCAACCTTTTGGCCGCCGTGGCCGACCAAAAATGCCACCACAACCACCATCACCACCAACCCATATAATCTACCAGATGCTGCCATGTTTGCCCACCACCACAAGCACCAAACCTTTTATTTGTTTTGAGAGAAAAAAACCCAAAAGGAAAATGGCGAAACAGGGAGAAGAAAGAGATGGGAAAAGAGTGTTGCGTTACTTGAGGAGTGTTTGGTATCTGAGAAAAAAAAAACCTCTTTTTAATGGGGTTTCGACGTAGCTTCCTTGACTGGTTGGTGCGGGCCCAATGCTATATCGGGTCGGTTTTTAACCGTCCTTTTTACTTACCAGTCATGATTATTACCCATAGGTGGAGAGAGAGAGAGAGAGAGAAAAAAATCGGGTCGGGTGCAATAATCTAAAATCGGATCCGACCCGTTTAGGATTAACATATCCTAAAATTTACATGTAATATTAATATTTATATAAATTAAAGATTTTTTAATTACAATTTCATTTGTAATGTTTTTTATCTACTTCAATTCTTCCCATTTTTAAATTAAAACTTAATTAATTAATTAAATTAATAATAATTTTATATTATAAAATAGAAGAAGATTGAATATTTCAAATAAATAAAAAATATTATGAATTAAATTTCAATATAAAATATTAAAAACTAAATTATAACATGTGTTAAAGTTAGACTCTAATTTAATAATTTGCACTCAATATTTTCACTTTTTAAATTATGTTAAAAAAAATCATATCATAAATAAGCTTGTTATATATATATATATATATATATATTTAATGCAGATGAAAGATTGCTTAGCAATAAAGTAAAGGTTAATTTTATGTAATATATTCAAAATAATATAATATAAATTATACCAAAGCTTGTTATATGTATATGCGTATGTGGGTGTCTTTTTCTGAAAACATACATACATATATACACACATATATATACTTATTTGACTGATCATAAATATCATGCATGCATGCATGTGAATCGCATTCAACGCCTTCAAAGTTGATTGTATTTGCTTCTTCCTTTATGGATGAGCTTAATTATACATATAGGCACACATACACACACACACACACACACATATATATATATATATATGTATATGCGTATGTGGGTGTCTTTTTCTGAAAACATACATACATATATACACACATATATATACTTATTTGACTGATCATAAATATCATGCATGCATGCATGTGAATCGCATTCAACGCCTTCAAAGTTGATTGTATTTGCTTCTTCCTTTATGGATGAGCTTAATTATACATATAGGCACACACACACACACAGATATATATATATATATATATATATATATTTATACGTACATATACGCACATATATAGAAACACAGAGAATCAGAAACATGCATATTGCCTAAATGTGTATTGCTTTACCGAAAAAGTTAATTATGTAGAAAGAAAAAAAGCAAAACCATATATAATCATAAACCACATATCGACTGTGACCAATTATGAATCTTCAGATAAATTAGAGAATCAATTTTCATAAACATTGTAAATATGGATAAATTGTTTGAACTTTTTAAAGAAGAAAATTTCAAGATTCAATAAAAAATTTTCTTGAAAACTTGTATTTAATCATATAAATTTGTAGATTCAATGTTTTTAATCTATTGCCTGTAGTTAATTTTGGTAATCTGTATATATTAAGTTATTGTAAATCTTACTCTCTTTATTATTAGATATAATTATATGTAAACCATAATTTACTAATGCAATCATAAAAGTAGATTTGATAATTCAATTTAGTATCAAAATTATTTGAATTAGATGAGTAAATTATAATTTATAAAAAATTTATAAGCAAAAAGAAATTGATAGTGAATTGCACAATTCAAATCCAATAGTAGAATATGTATATGCATATTTAGTTATACCAGTAAATATCAGAAAAAAAAAATCTTATACTAATATCAGTATTAATATTCAATTTAACAAATATTTATACTTTTATAAACGGGTAATCTTTTAATAACGTTAATTTTTTTTATCTCTATCTCCACATCTTCATTATATATGACATGTTCTTTTTGACATTTTGTAATGTTGGTCTTAATTTAAAGCGGGTTATCATATGTGCTTCAAATAAAATATTGAACCATAAATTTCCCATCATCAACCACTCTAAGTCTAAGTAATTTCTTGTTTCTCGTCGAGAAAAAAACTCAAGCTAAGGTAATAAATAATAATTTATAGTCATCAACTATTATATTATTTACTAGTCAATATATTAAATTAGTGTTAGAAGAATTCTAGTTGCACGATTCTTTATGTAGTTTTTTTTTTTTTTAAAAAAAGTCATTCTAATGGGACACTAATGTATATACAATGAATTTTTCTTTAACGCAACATGAGCATATGGAACTTTTAGCGCAACTAAAGAAGCAGAACTACCAAAATGACTAATGATACTACTAACTTGTTTTCTAAAAAACATAATAAGAAAATGCACAACTTTATATATATAGCACTTTACTCCTTAATAATACTTAAACTATCAAACTCAAACCTTTAAAGATCGTATAGAATACGTCTTCTTGTACACCAACTCAATTAGAAACGTAATCTAATTCGTGCCCAAGTAGCTGGTTTATTCTGGTGATGAATGAAATATGATAACATCAGTATCTTC